AAAGCACAGCCATCATAAGGGGGTGGTAATGAGACTGTCCTGGGAGGGAATACAAGAACGCCAGCTATGCCAGCCTCACTGGGCAAATCTAAGAACATCAGTAGATACTGCACTTGGAATTCAGGAAGCCCATAGTGAATAGCAGATTTACACAGATAAATACAACATGGAATTTATCTATCTTTAGGCACACACACACAAGTTGATTCACAGCACTGGGGATATTAGAATTTATAAAGCAGTGTTTTCAGATGGTGAAATTCTCTTTAATCTAACTTCAGAAATATGTCAGAGAGCACAGTGACAACACTCGGGCATTCGCTAACTCTTTGCCAGGTGTTATTAGACAGCCTGTATTGTCACACATCAGAGCTTAGCTTAACATTCTTATCTGAAGTCAGAACCTCCAGGATGGCTGCCAGATACAAGGCTGGTCCATCTCACTTAAGCACCATCCACAAGCAGACCTGGTTTACGCTCAAGGAAATAGAAACCGGTGCTCCTTACAGTTTACTGCTCCTTACAGCTAAGCTACTGCTAGTGCATTACTCTAGACCTCTGTCCTTGCTAATGTTTAAATCCTGGCACAAAATCAAAGTTCTTCCCAAACCAGCCTGCTTCCCATGGTCCCAAGAGAGATCTGTGTCCTCTGGTGCTCAATAGAACCATTGCCCCGATTCACTGTCCACCTGTCAGCAAATGCAGAGACATATAGCTCAGGCCGGTTTAATTGGCAGCACAGGAAAACATTCCTCTCCCCTAGATGCCTCGTGGTCACTAAAGACTCTAGTGAACTATTTTGTTTTTCTTCATTCTTAAAAGTCTTTAGTCCGGAAACCATAGCAGGTTTGTAGAAATGAGCTGTGCCAACCTACCTCACTGACCGAGTCTGTAAATTGATGACATACTTCATCCCGTTCCTTAGATTCTACTTCCTTTGACACGGAAGCAGCAGTGCGCACGGATGCCACACACTCATCAGCCTGTCTTACGCTACCTCATTAAAGTGCCTCGGTGTGGCTCTTACATGCGCAGTTTAGGAATGTGAGGTCACAAATGACTTTGACTTCACTTTCTCAAAATGATACTTGGTTGACTGCTAATATATAGCCATGTGATCTTACACTTCTGGCTCCTTTGAAAAGCACCGACATTTTTAAAGTCTAAGTAATTTTGATCTGCCATAATTCTGAGGTGCAGCAGACATTTCTATAATAGAAGGTGTACTACAGATGTTTTAAATAAGTTAACAAGCAGCTATGCTGAAATACGCCCTATGGACACAAAAGTACAAGTGGGATTATATTTCACTGGTGTTCTGCTGGAAGTGAAGTGCCTCTTGCTACCTGCATGTCTTAGCTCTCTCTGTGTGGGGCAGGTTGTGCTGAGCTTTCTCCCTAAACAGGATATCAGCTCCCCTAGTATACTCTATGAGGTCTGCTTTTGGCTTTCTGACTGATCTAGAAAACTGCCACAGATGGATCTCCCTCCTCACTTGAAATCACAGCCATGCGATTTCTAAGGAAGCAAGGAGGAATGAATCATCAGGGGCCATTTCAAACCAAGGATCCTCCCCCGCTTTTAGTGTTTGTTTGAGGGTCTTGTGTATTCCAGGCTGATCTTGAATTCCTACTCTCCAAATGCCAGGATTACATGTATACATTCCCACACCCCAGCAAAAATCCTTTTCTCTCAATAATTCTACTGTAAAAACATGTCCAAGAAATAGTGAAAAGTGTTGAGCACATCTGGTTCACCCATTCAAAGGATATTTACTGTGCAAATGCTGGTGTTGAAGAAACAGTGGTGTAGACCTCTGTTAAGGACCTCATAGTTTTACTGTGGACAGGCAAAAGGAAATAAACAAGAAGATACCTTGGAAGACTAGGGTTTAGCTATGAAGAAAAGAACTCAAGACATTGCATTAGAAAATAATAGGATGACTAAAATCAGGAACAAGACAAGATTGTCAATGCTTGCCGTATCCATTCAATATAGGAAGTCATAGCAGAGCAATAAGAAAACTAAAGATAAGAGGATACAAGTTGGAAAGGAAGAAGTCAAAGTGTCACTACTTGTAGTTGATATGACAGTATACATAAGTGACTCCAAAAATTCTACCAGGGAACTCGTACAGCTGATAACACCTTCAGCAAAGTAGCTGGGAAAAAAAAGTAGCCTTCCTATATACAAATGATAAACAGGCTGAGGAAGAAATATTACTCAGCTGTTAAAAACAATGACAATGAAATTTGCAGACAAATGGATGGAACTAGGAAAGAAAATCATCCTGAGTGAGGTAACCCAGAACCAGAAAGACAAACATGTATGTTCTCACTTATAAGTGGAAACTAGCTGTAAAGTAAAAGACAATCATGCTACAATCCACTGACCTAGAAAGACTAAGTAACAAGGAGGGCTCAATGGGTGAAGTATGAATTTCTCTGTGAGAGGAGAGCATTGGGAAACAACTGAAATTGGCAGGCGGTGGGGGGAGTCTCAGGGATGAGCTAGAAACCTAACGCAATGGGAACTCCTAGGACTCCACAAGGGTGACCTTAGCTAGGACTCCTAGCAATGGGGGACACAGGACCAGAACCAGCCATTTCCTGCAACCACGCAAGACTTTCAGTGAAGAGATTGGATCACCTGCCCACATAATCTTCAACCTACAATTTGTGCTGCCTACAAGATGTGCTGGGGTAAAGTGGTACAGAAACTATGGGAGTGGCCTGTGACTGGTCCAACCTGAGACTCATGCCACAAGAGGGAACCCAGCCCTGACACTGCCTGGAGGACCAGGACCCAAAGCTGGATAGCCCAGAGACCTAGGATAGAACCAAACATGACTGAAAAAAAAATTATGAAACAATGCCTAATGATATTCTGCTATATGGATAGACTGGTAATTGTCATCAGAGAGCTTCAGCCAGCAACTGGTGGAAACATTAGGCAGAGCTCAGGGGATCCTGCAGAAGCAGGGGAGAGAAGAATTGTAGGAGCCAGAGGCGTTGACGACATTACAAGAAAATCCACAGAATCAACTATCCTGGGCTCATAGGGGCTCACAGAGACTGAACCGACACCCAAGGAGCCTGCGTGGGACTGACATAGGCCCTCTGCCCATGTTACAGTTAAAGCTTGATCTTCTTGTGGGACTCCTAACAGTGGGAGCTGGGGATGTCTCTGACACTTTTGCCTGCTTCTGTGACCCTTTCCCTCATACTGGGTTAACTTGTCCAGCCTTAATACAAGAGGAGGTACCTTGTCTTACTGGAACTTGATATGCCATGTTTGGTTGATATCCATAGGAGGTCTGTCCTAGTAGATGGAATTGGGGTGCAGAAGAGTGGGGAACTGGAAAGGGAGAAGGAAAAACCAGACAGACAGATAGACAGACAGACAGACAGACAGACAGACAAAAGAAAGACACTTAGAAGCTGAATATATAAGAAGGAAAACAGGAAATGCTGGGAAAGTTTATTCTGACACGAAATATTGCCTGATTCTACTTTCTGGTTCCTTGCCTTGTGATTCATATTCAATTTCAAAGACCCTCAGATAGTAAAAGGCTTTATTTGTATTACATTCAGAAAGTGAAGAAGCTGTAGGGTTTTCACTTAGTCAGCCATCTGCATGCACAAAGTCTGCCTAAGAAAGGATGCTTTTTGGAAGTGTTTACCATATGTTCACACCATGACTTTCAAAAATAATGGGAAAAATTAAAACTCTTAGGTAATGTTACTTTTTGAAAGTGAATACTTAATTTGAAAGTGAAGTCATTAATTCTAAAAGTGTTCTTTTAATAATGTACTTCTCATAAACATAGGAGAACCCTGCCTATAAGAAGTATATCCAACCACTAATGCAAAGCTGGAGAGCCAAGCTGTGAAAAGCTAAAGGATTCTGGATCAAGAAGCACCATGGCTTTATTATGGCACATATGCATATAAAGAATTTAGAGCACAGGGTGGAGTGCTGCTTGTTCAAATCAGTGAGTAAACTAGTCCATGAATGGATGTTCATCACATTAGTCTACTATTGAGTATGTTTGAAACTTCCCCTTGTCTGTTTGTACCATGTATTTGGCTAAATGCTAGAATTTTGCTTTAAATATAGCAAAAGCTAATAAACTTGTTACTACTTGTGTTATTTTTCTAGGGGGATGCTGGGACTAAAAGGTTTAAAGGCGTCAACAGGCATTCTACCACTGAGCTAACCTGTGGCCACACTTACCTTTAGCTTCCCCTAAGGCTTTACACGAACACACAGGAAGCCCTTTAAAAGTGTGTGCTATAATCTAAATCAAATATAGATGCTCAGAATGCAACATACCATTTTTTTTTCAAGTCAACTCTTCTGCATTAAAAATTAAGATTTCATAAATAGACAGAATTATCTCAAAATACTCAAATACAACCAAGCTACATTCTTCATTTCGTTTTCAATTTCACAACATAGAGCAGTTCTGACATGGCCTGCAGCTAACCTAACATGAACAGGGCCCTGGTCAACCCCTAGGACTAAGGGAAAAAACAAACAACAAAACCTGAAAACCCTGTTGCTTGCTTTTGTTCATATAAGCAATCATTTACCTGCTAATACTTGGTAAGCCAAAGAAAATTTACCAAAAGCAAACTTCCCTTTTGAGAAAAAGGGGACACAGAAGAGAACTACAAGCTTTCCTTTTTCACAAACTTGGAGCTAATATTACTCCTAGTTCCACAACTTTAAAAAAAATGTGTGTGTGTGTGTATGTGTGTGTGTTGTATGCATGCTCAAGCACATGCCTAAGTGGAAGTCAGAGGTGTCATAACTAGCTGGAGTTGTGGTTACAAGTGGTTATAAGCATTAATATTGGTCCCAGGAGCCAAATTCCAGTCCTATGCAAGAGCACCAAGAGCCAAGCCCTCCAGCCCCCTCTACAACAGTTCCAAACCCAAACCATCTTTCTTCATGATGATTTTAGCTGGCTCCACAGCACATGACTAACTGGGGTCTTTATTTAGGAAACCCTTTATTAGTTTACAATTGGAGCATATATTCCAAACAGTAACCTCTTCTCACCCGTTCATCAATACACCAAAGCTATAGCAACCTGCTAATAACATTAAGGTATCTTAGTTTGAAGATGAGGTAGTTTTGAGTTTTTGTGGTGATTTTGGTATGAGGTAGGGAGGGGATAATTTATCAAATCTTAAATTTTCAAAGAGACAATCTTGGAACAGTCGCACAGAGAAGAAGAAAAAGGTGTCTTGTCTTCCCTAGAGCCAAAACCACAGAGGTCTACGATTCCCCTAAAACAGGGAAGTCGCCACACAATGCATACTTTCAACAAAGAATATAATTTTCCTCTTACACAGCAATAAATACAACCCTTGATATTCATATTCCATTTTTTATTAGAGTTTTCTTTCCTGGTAGACAGTACCCTTAAGAATGAAACTGTACCAGGCATAAGGTTTCTACCACAGAGACATTTCGTACTGAGAATCCAATATAAATATTTCTAGTCAGACATTTCCATGGCTACAGATATTTGGTTGCTTGATTTATATGCATAGAAAGAAACAGTTGTTAAAACTGTAGAAAGCAGTCCTTAACAAGTACCTTGAGATGACCGGCCAGTCTTCCTTTACTACTACCACTGCCTACTGGTCTGGAAACTAGGTCACCCTACATGATAGTCTGATCTTTCTCAAAGACATCATAAATACCTTCTTTAATCTTTTATTCCTGTATTTTTAGCCTTCCAGTCGAGTCAGGGACCATGTTATCAGAAATCATTTTAGCACTGTTAAGGGTTGATTATATACCATAATGATTTTCAGATCTCTTTTTATAAAAAAGGTTTCTAGAGACTCTGAACAGGCACATGCATACTTGGGAACAAACAGGGAGGAGACTGCTCACACATGAAACTTCCTTCTGGTCCTCAATTCCATCAAATAAATACAAATACTGAAGAAAAAAAAAGAGGGCCCACACTAAAAACAAGAACAGTCTCTTCCATATCCCAAAACGTGAGCTTGCCGGAAGTTCTCTGAGGGCTAACCATAAGTCAGTCATCCGTTTTGCGGGCCAGTCTACAGAAAGTCCAGTTGTGCTCTACTGTGTTCTCATTGGCCCGCTCACTCATGTGATGCACCCGAGTATTGCGGATCGTGAAGCCTTGCTTTGTGATATATTCCATCAGGTGGACCCGGAGGGAAACTTCCTGGTGGTAATCACATGGTCCAAAGGTGAAGGAGACCTGGCAGTCTCTGGTGTCCATCATGTGCTTATTCCACTTGGTAAAATAGTTTGAGATGCCTTCTAGTAAGGAATGGACCTTGGTGGTGATGGTTAATTGTGTTATGATGACAGCCACAGGATTGGAATATTTAGAAAGCTTCCGAGTACTAGACAGCTCTACAACTTCTTCAAAAGTATCCATAGGATACAAAGGCTTAGGGTCATTGAGACACTGAATCAAGGGTTCAATCTGGTAGAAATCAGCCTCTTTCCGAAGCAGATCAAACTCCTTAAAGTCCAGGGGGAGTGTCAATTCTGAAGTCCGTAAGAAGTTGAGGACATATCGGAAAAGTGGTCCATCTCGATCAATGAAGTAATTGCCTTGAGGGTCTCGGGCTGTGGGGAAGTCACCCCCAAACATAGCTCCAAGCATAGAATCCGGGTAGCGCGTCAGCGTGGTAAGAGACGTCGTATACAAGTGTCCGCCTACATTTAATGTGACTGGGTCAGTCATCTGCAATTTTTAAAAATCTAATTAATTACCTGAAACTTTAAAATCTTAACAAATTAAGAAAATCAATACTAACAAGCAAAACACAAACCTTTTCAAACTAATATATCTGGTAGCACTAGGGGACAAATGGCTTTACTTGCAATTATAAAACCCACCCAGGAGAAGGGCTTCAAAGTTTGCTTTCAAACAGAATAAATCTAATCCTTCAAATGTTTACAACAAGCCTGCCAGGTGTGACCTTTAGTGTCATACAGGGAAGACCAGAATCTGAGGAGCTTTTTGGGTCACATCTGCCTGCTTCTACTTCCCCAGTGCTGAGATTAAAGGTGTGAGATTAAAGATTAAAAACCTTCAGTTTTTTTAAATTTATCATAAGCTAGAATATAAGAATAATCTGATAATGTAACAATAATTAATTTAGAGATTCTGTTGATTTTTTTTTTCCTCAAAGGGTCACGAGATCTAATTTTTTTTTTGAGACAAAGTTTCACATAACTTAGGCTGGCCTCACACTCACTGTGTATAGCTAAGGACGGTCTAGAATTCCTGATTCTCCTGCTTCTGCCCCCCTGCTAGGACAGTGCTGAGATCACAGGTGTGCACTGTCACATCCAGCTGTGAATATGAATATATATATTCATTTATCTTAAGTGTGTGTGTTGCCTGTGTGCATGTATGTGTACCTCATTTGGGCTAAGGGTATGGCTCTAGGAACTGGGAGTTAGTGGTGGTTGTGAGCCATTGAGTAGGTGCTAAGAACCAAACCCAGGTCCCCTGCAAGAGCCTAAGTGTTCCTAACTGCTGACCCCTCTCTCTATACCAAAATGTATTTTATAAACAAAAATTTGTTTAGAATCAACCTTAGTAATTTTTTTCAGGGAAGCAACAGTTCCTTCTTTTCTGGTTGTTGTTGTGACAACATCTTACTATGTGCATAAAGCAGGCTAGAAACTCACTCTACCTCCCAGGTGCTGACATTACAGGCCTGTGCCACCATGCCCCGGGAGTAAGTTCCAAACACTAGATTAAAATACATGATTTGGTGAATCCAATAGAGCCCATCTTCTAGACCCAAACTACCACATGTCAAAGGGCTGGGAGCAGCTTTGAACTGTCACATGTGACTGTGTAGTCATTTATAACATTAATGTTGTAATCTGACAAGCTTCTCAAAATAACACACCTTCAGCTTTAGAAATCCTATTTAAGAAAATACAAGAAATGGTCTTCAGGTACTAAGAAAGCAAAATATGTCTTACCAGATAAAGAAGAAAATAGGGAGACATGGACACATGTGAGAACTGCATGTCAGAAGAAACCCTTTCTAACTATTAACCCCTTTACTACAATAAAGCGGTCTCCATGCCATTATCCATGGGCCCTTTAAGCATCACCATCCCATGAACAGAGAATTTAAAAAGCAATATACACCAAAGACCAAAACATCATGGTGTATCTGAAGGTCGTGATTACGAATAGTTACTGTGGGAGCAGGAGAGATGTCAGGAGTTAAAAGCTATTTGCTAGTACAGTGGACCTGAGCTCCATTCCAGTGGCTCGCAGCAGCTCCAGGAGATCAGACGCCCTCTTCTGGCCTCTAAGGGCACTGCGTGCACTGCTTCCCCCACTCATAATAATTGAAAAAGGTTATTTGGAGACTATGCATTGAGTCCTCCACTAAAACGTCAAGCCAAATAAAAATGCCCTTCCCCAAATACATCTGTGGAAACTAGATAAAGCTGGACAAATTCATAGTTTTCATCCTTTAAGATAAGTCTATGAATGCGCGAAGACAAAGACATCAAAATTCTTTGCCAGCCTTCAAAGTGAAGAAGCACTCACCATATAGCCCCAGTCTCCATTATCCATCTGCTCCAGCACAGTCCTCAGGAGCCCAGGAGCCAGGAAAACTCTAGAAAAAGAGAAGCAAACACATACCCGTGAAATGGAGAATAAACGCTGTTCCGCCAGATGTAGTTAGTCAAACCTCATAAAACTGTTCATATATGGCCAACTGGAACCTACAGCAGGCCAGAGCTGTGGGAAGAAAGCCATGCCATGCTCTGTGCTTACCTCAGGAGCCCACCGGGCACAAAGAACTGGCCTACACTTGGAGAGAGAGGAAGAGATCTGTTATCTGGGCTGACAAGATGGCTCAGTAGGTAAAGCCACTTGCCTGACAACCTGAGTTTGATCCCTGGGACCCTCATGGTGGAAAAGAAAACTGACTTCCACACATGTCCTCTGAGCCCCATACTCACTCCCATGCACCCACACACATGAAATAAATGTCATAAAAAATTTACAAATTTTGTCACTCCCCCAGAGATGTAATTTTTTACATTTTCAGAGAACATCGTGATAAGGTCAATGACCTTCATCACCAATTTTTGATCTTCATCAAACAGGTCATGTAAGGGAAAAGGAGGGACATTCCTGTGGATCAGCATGCCAGCTGTATAAACTAAACATCTCAGTAAAAGCACTTAAAATCACGAGCTTCAAAGTAACAGTCGTTTTCCAAGAGAAACACACCAGAATATTATTATCTTATAATATAAAAAAATCAATCAAGCTTTTAATAATGATGTATTTCTCATTGTACATAAAAACAAACAGAAACCAATTTAAACAACAAACTGTTAAAGCACAATTTGGGACAAAAAAAGAACCTTACAGAGCTGACTGAGGGTCATTCAGCCAGCACCATGGAGAGCCAGTTTTAGGCCACTGGCAAATGCCTATGTACTAATGATGCCGGCTTCAATCTGTTTTTATCTACAATTCAAGGGCATTCCAGCAGTTGCCCAGCTACTGAACTGCTTTCATTAGTTCCCTCTATCACACGTATTCCCCTAAATCAACCTGCTAAGCAAACTGCAGAGCAGATTTAAAAATCACTAGCAAAGAAGGCAAGAAACGTGGACCTGCCGGTATTCGCCCATGAAAGTCTCTAGCTTTGTATGTGGTCTTTGAAGATCCGTTTTTCCCACTTTTAGAGGAATCTGGCCCCCATTTCCAGAACAAGAACAAGCCCTGGCTACAGAAGATCACAAAGGCTCTTTCTCAAAAGGTCACTCAGGCATGTAGAGAACATTTGCATAGCACAGCAGGGGCTGAAATCAGAGCCTGCAGCAGCTATTTCTCTACCTTTACAAATTCTTCAAAGCAAACAAGCTAAAATGTAGCCCCTAGGAGAGGCAGTCAGCTGCCTTTCTCCACTCCAGGCAGCTGGCTGCAGGCAGACAGGACTGCCCGTACTATAGTGAGATAACAACAAATGTAAAGCCAGAGCTATTGGGATACTTTTTCATCCCTCTGACTTACTCCACAAACCCCATCTGATATAAATGGAAGAAATGAGCCTTACCAATGTGTCAGTTCCATTACAGATAACAACACATCAACAATGGAGGGAATTAAAGGCAATTCCCAATACTCAAAGTATTCTTTCCTAATTGCCTCAATAATCATTCAGCCAAAATTATGTAAGGTCCACTATCACAGGGCAGGGGAGCCCATGTGAAAACTAGATACACAGGAATAAGAAAGTGTAACCCTGACCCTCGTGGAGTTTTCAATCTACAAAGGAAGGCAATATGCAACAACTGAAGTCCACAACATAATTCCTACGAGCTACATAACAGGATAAACTGAAGGAGCTCTAAGAGGAAGAGACCTAAACTCCAAACAAGAAAATGGAGGGCTTTAGCACAGAGCTTGTTCAGTGAACCGCTGAAAGAAAAAGTGACCAACCTGAGAAGAGACTCTAGAATTAAGCAACAATTTAAATAGGCAGGGATAGAGCAGCCTTTCTGCTTGTAAGCATACACACACACACACACACACACACACACACACACACACACGTTTAGAGTTATAAAATAAAGAGGCAGGATAGACCACAAGACTTGCTCACAGCCCCACATCTGCAGAATATCTGAACGATAACTTGTGTTTGCAGAGTCCTAGCCTAGATTTTCACAAAAGCTCCCTCCTGAAGTAGAAATTCAAAGGAGAATCCAAAAACCAAACAGTTGAAAAGCATCAACTTCAGGCTTCCCATAACCAACTACTAACCCTATCCACCTAGCACTTTATTTACAATTTAACAAAAACTTGGGCTAGTCATAATGAGCCTGTAAAAATTCCTACCACTAAATAAAAATGGCAGTAACCTATTCATTAGCGCAAATAATGGCTGCTGTTCCATCTTCAGCGACAGAAAGAATTCTAGTTCATGAGCATTCAAATGACTAATAAAGAATGGAAGCCCAAAACACACACACACACACACACACACACACACAATCAAACAGCTCTTATGCCAGTACTAACCTTTCATGTTTGTCTTCATGCCTAAATCAAAACATGATAACTACTTATGCAATCATCAAAACAAACAATCAAAAAATCTGATATTTCTGTATCTCTTCTACAGCAAAAGCCACGGTCTGACTAAAAACATATAACAAACCTCAAGCTTAATAATTTAGGAAAGTAGTCATTTGAATGTGTATATGTATATAATTTTTATTTATTTATTGTATGGGTTGGAGGCTGGGGATGGGTATGTAGTGATGTACACCTTTGCTAGGAAGCTAGCCCTATGATCTAAGCCCAGGTTTGTTTGTTTCTTTTCTCTTTCTTCCTCCTCTTCCTCCTCTTCCTCCTCTTCCTCCTCTTCCTCCTCTTCCTCCTCCTCCTCTTCCTCCTTCTCCTCCTCCTCTTCCTCCTTCTCCTTCTCCTCCTCTTCTTCCTCCTCCTCCTCCTCCTCTTCTTCTTCTTCTTCTTTTTCTTCTTGTTTTTGTTTTTTGAGACAGGGTTTCTCTGTATAGCCTTAGCTGTCCTAAGAAATACGTTCTGAAGACAAGCTAACCTCGAACTTAGAACTCAGAGATCTGTCTGCCTTTGCCTACTGGAGTGCTGGAATTAAAGGCATGTGCCACTACCACCTGGTCAAGCCCAGGTTCCTTAAAAAGCACTTCAAGGCCTTATAGGTATATGTAAAATACATCAAAATAAAAATACTAGTCACTTCCAATATAGGCTAGCAAAATCTATTTTAAAAAATTATACTAAATTGATCACTAATAAAGTCAAAATGGAGGGAACAGTCTTGATTCATTTAAAATTGATATATGCTCCTTCCTTACAACCCAGAAGAAAGAATTTCCAGACTAGCTTCACAGTATGGTTCTCCTAGAGTACTAACAATTCATTTCCTTTTCATGTTCTCTCCTGCCCAGCACAACCTCCAGCGGAGGGCTTAACAAGACGTTTAAATAACCACAAGCTGGTGACAGAAGGCCTTCAAGTGGGCATCAAACAGGCAGATTTTACTTGAGAGAAAGGTAAAGAAACATGTAATGTTTCATAAAATCTGTGAGACATTCCTCTTAAATTTCCTTTAAAGGTGTTTCCCTCCAAGTGACTTTCCCTTACTAAAGATCTTTCTTAGAGCCGTGACTACAACAATGACTATCAAGTTCAAAGAAAGGCTTTCTGACTTTGTAACATCAGTTTACCTGAAAAAAACTGATCTTCGATTCAAATAAAATTATGATCCTAAAGACTACCATGCTTGCACTTCGAAGGTCATTTGTAACTGATGTATAAACTCTGACAGTATGTTAGCAGGCAGTTAAGAAAAACCTATCCTGAAGAATTTCTAGAAGCCTAAAAAGAAGTTATTAATTTACTGACCTATCGAATCTGAAGAATGCACGATACAGCAAGTAAGTTAACAACTTAACCCGTGAGAACCTCTCTAACCACAGCAAAGCTGCACTAGGGGTTATGATAAGACAGCACAAATATTCTAGACTCACTTCTGCTATTTACTGACCAAGAAGCTCAGGAGCACAATTCCTCCCATGTTAACAGTCTATGTGCTGCAATGTTAACCTTCAGATTTGAAGACGTAACGATACAACTGTGGTCACTTCCTTCCCAGGGTTTCTGGGTAGCCCTTCCAAGTGCTTTTCTACTGAAACCTTTGTGCCTGGTATCCCAAAATGAAGACTTGGTAAATTTTCTCTCTCCACCTATACTTACCTTCCAAGTTGCCTTTGTACTGAGTTTCTCTGTTCTTGGAAACGTGGGAGTTTGAAAGTGAAATACTTTTTATAGTAATTGGTTCAGTGGCATCTCCAGGCGTCTCCTGAGTTAATATCCACATACAGGCCAGCACAAGTAGCCAAGCGCACAAGGATAATGGGATTATAAAGCTAAATTACCGCTAACTAAACCCCTCTCTCAACCACGTGGGCTAGAAGAAAAGAGACGTAGGCAAAAAGGAGAAAGTCTTACAAGAAATCATGAATCTTCTAATAGCATCAAACCAGACTAATATATACTAATATATACTCTCCAGCTATAGTGCTATCAGTCAAAAATCATAAAATTCTACTTCCCCTCAGTTTCCACTAAAATGAGGTATTATGACCTTCCCCAAAGTAACCACACCATTTAAGCACAATAGAGGTAAAACTGGCTGACAGGGCAGTGAGGAGTGGAGCTCTGGAGTCATGTGCAGCAGGCCAGCAAAGAAGAACTATGAGAACCTGAGTATATCGCTCTTTCCTACCGGCAGCACCAAAAATAAATAAATAAATAAATAAATAAATAAATAAATAAATAAATAAATAAGTAGCTAAGTCAGACACAGTGGGCAAACATGAAGGTGAAGGCCGGTCTGTGCTCCCAATTCATCCCAGCCTTCCTTTTCCCGGAGTTCCCTCAGCAGTTGTGGTAAGAAAAACTAAAGGTAAAATGATGTCCAGCGCTCACAGAGACAAACAGACACGTGAGCTCTCGGAACTTCTAGAAAGCATGACTCAGGGTTGTCTCCAAGATAAAGCAGAACACACACATATGTGTCCCGTTTAAAATAGACCCCAACTCTTAAAATACAAGATACAACGATGGATTCATAGGCGCGACCATAAGACTGCTTTCCATGCTATTGTTTCAGCTACAATATCCTTTAAGAAAATTCGAAATACAAAACTTACTATGGTACTATGGTTATCTTTCTACATAGGGCATTACAAAAAAAAAAAAAAAAAAAAAACCACCTAAGAATCCGTGTGGAGGCCCCTGGTTTTCATCCAAAGGGGGATTCTTCCACCCTACCTACCTGCCTACTTAGACCTTTACTCTTTTGAAAACACTTCTGGATTTAGGCCTGTGCTACCCCAACATCATTCCCATACTAGAATATTTACAACAGCGAAAAAGATGAGCCTGCCAAGGGGACTACATTGGAGACAGTTGCTTAGGCTATCCCAAACATTCTTAGTCAAACCAGGTCACCCCGGTCTATTGGTCAACATCACGAAATCCTGCAACCAGGTTTATCAACTTGCCGTGTGAACTGGTGTACAGAACAGAAACATGACAACTTCAGCAGAATATCCAAACAGGATCTCAGTCACGTTTCGTTTCCCCGTCCCACCCCCAGACACGGCCTCCGCTGCCATCGCCCAGCAGGTGCTGCAGGGGCTCCCCACGACCTCGCCAAAGATCACCTCTGACACCCAGCACTAAACGCCAGTGACAACCCGAAATCCCAGTAAAAAGCTACAATTTGTGCAGAAAACCAAAAAAGCAGGGCTGTAAACTAGGGCAGTGGAGGCTAATAAGCACCACTCCCCAAAAAACAACCCTTTGCCCCGCAGAGCCCGCCGGTCTCCACTCCGCGGTCGCCCGCAAGCCAAGCCCGGCCGGCCACGCGCACAGAGCCCCGAACCCGAGCCGGAGCCCAAAGCCCGCTGCGGCCGCGCGTCCCCGATTTCCCCGCCCAGGCCCCGCCGCGGGCTCGTGCCAGCCCGGGGACGCGCGGCCGCCACCCGCTGTTCTCCTCAGCCCGACTTCCCGCAGCCCCGACCCCGCAGGCCCCGTTCCCGCCCCACTCACTGCGCGAGCGCGGAGGCGACCCGGCCGGGAGACGCCGGCGGCCCGAGAGCGCGAGCGCAGGGACGAGCGAGCCCGCGCCCCGCGGCGGCAGCGGCGGCGGCGGCGGCAGAGAGGACGACTGAGCCGGCGCCCGGAGTTGCGGCTCCAGCTGCCCGGCGCGGGCGGCGCCTTCTAGCAGAGTCGCGGCGCCGAGAGCGCGGACGCCCCCTATCGGCGGCGCGGGGCGAAAGCCGAGAAGCCGGACCTCCGTGGGCACTCTGGGCGCTGCCGGGTCGGCGTGGTCAGGCGGGCTCTGCAGCAGTCCCGAAGCCCCGCCTCCGGCCCGTTCCGATCCCCGCCCCGCCCAGGACTCCCGCGCGGAGCTCCGCCCAGGCCCCGCCCCTAACTCCCCTCTGCATTCAGGCTGTCCCCGCTGCCGCCAGCAATCTCTTCTCTGCTTGCCTGGGACATCGTCTCCGCAGCTGTTTCTCCTCAGCGGTTTTCACTAAGTTGATAGACCTCATCGTATGCAGGGCTTGAAGAGTACAGCAGCCACCCAGATCGAGGCAAGTTCCAAGACTCAAGAAAGCAAACAGTAGTCAAAATAAGACAAGTTCGAATCCTGTTGGGAGCAGTCCAATAACTTATTCTGCCTTGGAGAATAAGGGAAAAGGGACTCCTGCTTTCAGATGTGACGATCTGATATATATGCTTATATATATGATATATATGGCCAGAGCCGCTCCTGGCCTTATATATAAGGCAGGCTGTTCTGTAACGTAATGGCTTGGAGGGCCCACCTATCCAAGGCAGCGAAGAGCAGCCAGTTAGAAGGGCAAAGCTAACTAACAGCCTGTATTAAACCTCTGAGGAGCTTAGCCTGGATGGGACTGGCAAGGATAATGTCCTCACTTCAGGAAGGACATCAAGGCTGCAGAGCTAATTTGACTCCATGCATAGCCGAGTTCCAAGAGCCGTTTACTTCTAGCTAGCCGGATCACAATCCACTTCTACATGAGTGAAAAACCACTGGCCTTAGAAACTCACCCGGGCCGGACATGGTAAAAGTAATGCATACCCTTAATCCCAGCACTTTGAGGCAGAGGCATGCAGGTCTCTTGTGAGCTCTAGGTTAGCCTGGCCTACATAGCTGAGCTCTAGGACAGCAGAGGCTACATAATGAGACCCTTTTTCAAAAGAACAGAACAGAAACTCTGTTTACACATCTGCATGTTTGTGAAGTGGTTCTGGAATCTAGTTTTTATAAATATGATCATCATCTAATATTCTATTTTTCTCCAAAAATCAAATTGGTAGGGTTAAATAAGGAATGTGGAATACAACATAATGGGTGGCTACGTTGACATCTAAGTGAGGATACAAACTAAGTAAAAATACAGGGAAAATGCTTCTGCAAATGAGGTATACAAAATAATACATACAGTATCCTAATGTTGATTTTTTTCCTGTTTATGTTTGTTTGTTTGTTTGTTTTGAGTAGCCTGGCTGTCCTGGAACTCACTCTGTAGACCAGGCTGGCCTCAAACTCAGATATCTGACTGCCTCTGCCTCCCAAGTGCTGGGATTAGAGGTGAGCATTACCACTTCCTCACCTACCCAACCCACCCTCCCAACCCTCACTAACATTGTTTTTTTTTAAAAAAAAAAACAGTATACATAGACAAAAGTTTTTATAAATAAAACATTGAACATGGTATTCTAAAGTAATAGGATAGGATACAAGTGTCAGTAACTTCTAAATAGATTTTCTCAAAAATTATGTGTATAGATGTTTTGCTTGCAGTGTATGGAAACTGCTACCTGTGCTACCTTCAATTCCTGTGCAGCCCAGAAGATGGCGTTGCATCCCTTGGAACTAACCTTATAGATGGCATGCTTAGCTACCATGTGAGCTGAGACTAGAACCCTAGTCCTCTGGGAGATCAGCCATCTCTCCAAGCTCTACTTATTGCTTCTTAATGTTCTTCTGAATTTTATTTATTTTCTACAATATGTGGATATTGGACTTACAGTCAGAAAAATACAATGAGTATGGATGTTTGTCTTTGTGGTAGTAAAGATTGAATCCAGGACAATACAAACTAAATACTCTCTGCACTGCTAAACTATACCACTTGTCCAACAGTGTATTCTACAAAAAGAAAACATAGAAATCACTGAAGATCAACATCTCTATAACCTGGTGTCACTACAATTGAATTGCTTTTGGTTTACTGGTATCTCTGGAAAAGTTACCTCACATATGTCTCCAAATAAAGACCATTTATTTATTTATTTATTTATTTATTTATTTATTTATTTATTTTTAAGACAAGGTTATCACCAAGTAGACCAAGTCACAAGGTTATCTTCCAAGTCACAGAGATATTCTTGCTTCCTGAGTGCTGAGATCAAAGGCATACACCACCACGCTTTGGTAGATCTGATAATTCGTGTCTTAAAGGTTATATAGATATTATAAACTACATTTTTAAATTTATAGCTTAATAAAGTCACTTTAATTTTTGTATAATAACATTTTGCTCAGCAGACTTAACTCTTAGTTTTAATAAGACTAGAGGTGTGTTTAGATTTTTTTTATAAATAACCACAGAGTCCAAATATAGTGACCATTCATAGGTCCTACCTAGTCTTTATCTATTTTTTTCCTTTTTATGTTGACTAAGTTCACCCACATTGAGCTGAATTCCACCTGTGACAACAGGCATCATTAACTGGGTCTTTTGCTCCTAACATGTCATCAGTAAATATGGTGGCAGCTATCAATTCTGACAGAGAAATCTTTATAGGGTTAGGGAGCATTTGCTTTGCTGTGAATGGATGCTAATATAATGAGTTCCAGTCTTGAGTTGTTAAACCATCCATACATTCTTGATGGTGTATTAGTTTTTCACTATGTTGCTGGATTCTGTTGGCTAATTTTGTATTTAGGATTTGGGCTTCCATTGTTATGAAAGAGATGGGCCTATTTTCTATATTATTCTATATTTGTGTGGTTTGAGAGTTTAAATTAAGACACGGTTATGTGCAGCAGAGTATCTTCTCTACAACTGGGGTTCTCTGTAGTCCTGTTCTTCCATAAACTGTCCAGAGCTCCTGGTTTAGGAGACTGAGGATGGAAAGACTACACTAGAAACTGTTTTATTCTGGTCAGTTTCAAGTTTGTCAGCCTGTGGGAGAACTATCTTCAGGCTGGCAAATCCTGACCCACACACCCACACTGCACTCGGTGATTCCTGGGCCTCTGTTTTCCTGGTAGCCTCTAGTTATCAAGGTACGTATGGTGAAGAGAGTCTGGATGGTCTTGTTTGCCCTACAGCTGGGTAGCCTGGGAGCGTTTGTTACTATGGCAACTACAAACACTATAGGAGGGAATCCAGACCAACAGGCTGTGGAGAAGGCAAAGTGGTAAAGAAAGCCACAGCTAATGAACTTGAATGTAGAATTCAGTCTGCCATTCTGAGTCTTGCCCCACTGATGGCTGGTGGACCTCACCTCCCATGTGTCAGAGGATGTTATGTCTTCAACTGTGTTCCCAGGATCCCTCCTCTACTGCTCTGGATTTGTGTGCCTTACACTGTCCTTTCTAACTAAGGTGGCTAACGGATTCTCTCTTCTGGCCAGAACTCCCAGGGTCCATTCCTGTATGTAGCCCTTTGGCCTCTCTGGATTGGGCTCTTGCACGGTGCCTCTGCCTCTGCTCTCCAGATAAACAGCCTCAGGACTCGACCTGACGCTGACCAGCAGATCTCTCCTTTGACCTCGTGTCCCCTCCCTTTATTCTTTTGCTATACATCTAGCTCCTATACTGTTAGTTCTCTCTCGCCTGCTGACAAATCATCTCAAAAGACAGGGATTTACAGCACCTGTTCATTACTTATAGTTTCTGGGTCAAGAGCTGGCAGTTCAACTGTCACCATGGTAAACGGTCATCTGAAAGACTACAAAATCTACCCCCTTATTCATGTGACTTTTATCACAAAGCATCAGTTCCTCGTCACATGAGCCTCTCCTGACAAATGTCATTAACTTAACCTCAAAAGTGGCATCCCCATGTGGCATAGTCTCACAAACCAATCGTTGTACAGCATAAGGGGTGTGACCAGCAGGAAGCAAAGGTCATTAGGGCTTGCTCTGCAGGCTGCCATGACTGCTCTAAGGATTTGTCTCACCTTCCTACCATACAGATGAGGGGTAAGAACATCATGAAAGCCATTGGGGCTCAGTATGTGAAGGGAGCTTTATATCCATCTCTGCTTAGCTGGTTTTTCCTCTCCCACACCCTACCATTTGCCAGACCACCCCCAGCTTCATCCTTGATAACTGCAAACCAAACCAGACTCTCCCACCATCTTCCAACCTCCTCAGCCCCCACTCAGCTCAGCAAATGGCACCACTGTCCTGCCATCTGCCCAAACCAGCAGCTTTGAGTCATGCCTGCTCCTCCCTCCCCCTCACTTCCCAGTGCCAGGAAGCACAGGCCTGCCAAGTCTCCCCCTAAGCATAGCCAGGATCCATCTCTCCTCATCTCTCCTCCTCCCTCTTCCCATGCACCGCTGATTGTGCCAGGCCATGCCACCAATGATTCCATTATGGACATCTGCAGAAGCACTCTCTCTGGTCTCCTTCATTTTTCTTGCCTCACACCTCCTCTGTCCTTTTCTCTTTGGTGTGAGGCACCTACACAAAGCTGCCTGTGTCACCCTGCCCGCTTTACACTCCTGCAGTGCTTCCCCAGACCTAGCCCCCTCTGATGGAATCTGGTCCCATTCACCCATCCAGCCTCATCCTCCCCATCCTTTCTTTTGGTTGGGCCCTTGCCTCTCTCACAGTTCAGTTGCTAAGACCTACAGCCCATGTGTCTGTGTCAGGGACATCATGGACAAATCTGCTGTCTCCTTTGTCCAGAACACAGTGTCCCAGCCCTTGAACTTCTGTTTATGTCTTCTCCCTTCATCATGTGGTCACTTGCTGACCTCCCCCAAGAGTCTCAAGCTGAGCTATAAGTTACTGCACGGGAGGGACCTGCCTTCCGTCTTTATGCCCCTCCTTGTCAGTTGGACTGTCAACTCCAGAAAGACAAAAACTGCATCTGTGTGATTTAGCACCATACAAAAAGAATAAGACACACAAGTGCCCAGTACTTAGCACATACCCAACAGCACATGACAATTTGGGACATTCTCTGCCTTGCTGTTTTTTCTCAGGTGCCTCACACTCTAGCAGAGGAGACAGTG